TGAGAGAAGATGCATTTTTATCGTGTGATTTTTTTTTTTTTTTTTTTTTTTAAATCTCGAACACTAGCAGTTGGGTCTCTGGAATGCCTGCCCACTCTAGCTGAACGATTTTTTTCAAATAACTTTTATGTGATTGTTTTTTTTTTTTTCAAGGTCCTCTTTCTCTGTGTGTGTGAAAAACTCACACACAATTAGATATTAAATTATACTGTATTATATAGAATAAAGCTAAGTCGTGTAAAAATGTGCCCAGAAGGAGAAGGAGTGCCGGTGGAAGTTCATCAGGCGTTACAGATGGCAATGGAGAAGCTCCAAGAGCGCTTCACCTCACTCATGCAGGAGAAGGCTGACCTGAAGGAGCGCGTGGAGGAGTTGGAGCACCGTTGCATCCAGCTCTCCGGCGAGACAGACACCATCGGTGAGGGGGGAGGATGCGTTCTGGCGCCAACGTGGGACACGACAAGCGAAACTCACCAAACGTTGTTGCCACTTTGATTTTCAGGAGAGTACATTGCCCTGTACCAGAACCAAAGGGCCATCATGAAGCAGAAGCACCAGGAGAAGGAACAATACATCAGCATGCTGGCTCAGGACAAAGAAGAGATGAAGGTACTGACGAGAACCTCTCCTCGGCAGTGACCACATGTCCGATATAACACCCTGCCCCTCAGGCTAAGCTGGCAGAGCTGCAGGACCTGGTCATGAGGCTGGTGGCGGAGCGGAATGACTGGTATGGCAAATATGCCAGTGTCGTCGGTGGCGTGGCTTCGGCGAACCCCGACCTTCTTCCTGTTGGCGAGGACCACCGTCACCCCGAACTCCAAGCACACGGTGACGACCTCAGTGCTGCCAGCGGAGCAGGTGAGCTCAAGGGGCTTCACAGGCAAGCGCCAGATCAACGTCGTCCTTCCAAATCCATGTTGGTGTTGTTTGTTTGGACCAATGACATGATGAAGCATTTCTTTTACCGGGCAGCAAAAGATGGGCTTTACGCACACGGCTCTGATGGACTCTCTATGTTCCTAGAAACCATGGAGATCATTCCCCTTTCCGAGCCCACCGCTGGCCAGGAAGCACCATCGCATCACAGCCCGCCCCCTGCGGAGCCCAAGGAGGACGGCACGGCGCAGCAGATCATGCAGCTGCTGCAGGAGATCCAGAACCCGCAGGGGCTACCGCGGCCGCCCCCATTCATGGGCGAGAACCCCTGCATCCCCTTCTTCTACCGTCCCGACGAGCAGGATGAGGTGAAGATCCTGGTTGTGTGAAACTGCAACGCCGCTCATCCGTCTATTTAGCAGCATCCAAAATGGCCGCCGCCCCCTTTTCCGTACGCTCAAGTGCAATAACAGGCCCTCGCATCTCCTTACTTATGACACATCAGGTTTGAATGTATTACTTATCAAAAAACTGGAGTGTGCGTGTTTGTATGTGCGAATGTGAGGCGGAGTCTGAGAGATGACGAGCTCATAGAAATGAATTGCACTAAAACGGTTTGTACAAAGCGTCAAGATGACGGACCCTATGACGCCTCTGCAGCCGAGGGTGCCATTTTGAAGGAAATAAGTAGGATGGATGGAAAAGTTCTAGTTACAAATTCACTCCCAAGGAATTTACCAAAATAGTTTCTGTCATCCATCATGACCTGAATTGCTCATATTGTACCAGGCAGCCATGAAAATCCTTTCCCATCATCAAAGGAACGTTGCGCCACTTCCTTGTTCCTCCTTTTTCCTTTGGTCATTCTGTTACTTTCCTTCCAAATACGCCACCGTTTGACATCCTTCTCTGACGGCAGTTGTTCAACTATATCAGGGGTGTCTGAACTTCAACCGGCGGCCATTAGTAGCCTGCCGCAATGTAAACTATTGTGATGGATTGATTTTTAGCTTGTTTAACAAATTGAAGTTGGAGAATTTCAAAGTGGCCCTTAGAAATCTTCATCCTCAATTTGTCTCTATGTGGTCCTCTGAGTAAAACTTGTGTGCACCCCGAGAGAGAGAGAAAAAGAGAGAGGGTGGTTTCCCTTTACGCTGTTACTTTATGATAGAATGTGAGGAAGAGGGAGAGCAGTGATCATACAGGTTGAGTGGTGTGTGTATATACTGTAAGTGTGTGTATCATATTGTATATTATTGTGGCTGGGTGTGTGTATGTGCAGATGGACATGGTTAGTGACAGACAGGCTGACATTTAATACAAAGAATGATTAAAAGAAGAGAGGAAATATACTATTTATTATTATTCTTATTTGGAATGATTTCATGTCTCAACCAATCAGTTTTTGATGTTTAATTAGGAGTGAGTGTTGAGAATGAAGGAAGTGACCTGATTTGTTGGCCTTGATTACCTCCCCCCTCCCACCCCCGCCTCTATTGAATAAAACTGATTGAGCAACATCATGTGGATACATTTTATTTTCTACTACCAGTGTTCTTACATATTTATGGTGAAGAAGGATACCACCGTTCTGTGGAATTATAAATGTGTAAAAACATCTACCATAATTTGGCCCTGTACAAATTAATTCTAACGTGTGTGTCTAATGTCGAATTATCACACTGTAATGCATACATTTTTCCACTAGATGAAGCTATTGCACACTCGTCCACTTGGCTTCCACATAACTTCCAGAATTCATGTATGATCATCAAATTACATTTGGTCAAAAAATAACTTAATTATATACAAGTTAATGTTTCTGTATATTGTGAATGTATTATTTGATATTTTACCGGGACAAAAAATGTTTCCAACTCTGGAATGATCCAACCTTTAATTAGTAGTAGTCATTCTACCAGCAGTAATAAATAATTGTGTTAGTATCCTATAAAACTAACTTGGGACCACAAGAAAACAGGCACACCGGATCTCTTGTCAGTACACTGCAGTTTATTTCTACACGTGAGCAATGTCATCATCCTGCAGGGTGCGATCATGGTTGCGTCCATAGTAACAGTACATCGCCCCGACCTTGTTGCACGGGCGCAGGAACGAGAGGGAAATAAAACAACAAAATCTCTCTGCTCCACCACAGTAACAAACATCCTGCCAAATTCCATATACACACATCACTCTAATATGGTTTTAAATAAAATACGAATAAACTTCACATTGCACGGCTTCTTATAGCAGGGCTGCTCAAACTGATGATCCCTGGTGCAAAATGGCAACCGGGTCAGATTTATTTTGTGTGGTGGGTTGGGTGGGGAACACGTATACAGAATAACAGTGAAGATATGTCTCATGTTAAATGATATTTTTTTTGCAAATCACTGGTAAGAGTGCACGTTTTTGTAGGTGTGAAATACACAGGAGTTGAATGAGGAAAGGGGCGGGTGGCCTTTATTTATTGATTGATTGATTGATGACATCACCGGTTCGAAGGGCTCCAAAAACACGCCACAGCACAATTGAGAGTAAACCAAACAGAAGGAGAATCGTGTACATGGAATTCATCCTCTCACTCACCCCCGTGACCACTGACAACAAAAAAAAAAGCAGAAAAAGAAAAGTGGTAGATCATCAATTGTTTTAAGATATTAAGAAGGGTTTACACAGGAGGAGGGGTCTCAGCACAGAAACATGCTACCATATTGCACTTTTTATTTCTATCCCGCCTTGATAAGGTAACAGTTTCATTTATTCACCTGAGGGTCATAAATGGTGCTTAACGTGATGGGGGAGGGAGGGAGAAGGGACTTCCTGCATTGCATAGCTTCTGTGCAAGAGATGTGGAGTGAGTGAATGATGGATGAATGATGAAGTGATGAAAAAAAGAAGAAAGGGTGTGAGGCGTCTTCGAGAGTTTGAACAGTGCCTCTTTGTCGGCGGCGTGCTGTGCAGAACGAGAAGAGAGCGTGTCAAACGATAAATATGGTCAGAGGAGGTCATGCAAGGTGACGTCATAGTCCACGTCATCCATTCATACGAGAGTCCAAGCCAGCATCACGTGTGACTTCGGCAAACCTTCACCTCCAGGAGGAACTCTGCAATTGTTTTGCTTTTTCTTTGGCTTTTGTGTGTGTGTGTGTGTGTGTGTGTGTGTGTGTGTGTGTGTGTTACCAGTGAAGGCCAAAAGGAAAAGAGTGACGATAACCATATAACCAGAAATGGAGCTTCTGGTGACCTAGTCTGACATACACAATGTAACTTTGTACCAAGTAGACGCTAACATAATTAGCATGTAGCCACATAATAGTAAAACGGCTAACGTGAAAATGACAGAAGCTACACTGACTAACTGTGTTGAAACCGTGCATTTTTTTGTCCATTTCACAAACAAAATGTATATTTCATATAAATATCAGCATAGCAACAGAAGCAAAAGATTTTTATGCTGCTGCTAAATTTGTAAAATGCCACTGAGTGGCAGTATCTCTCTGGTGAAATACCTCCCTGTCCCCTCCCTATTCTATCCGGAATTTCCCGTCCTCCGATGAGTGAGTAGTTTTGCTTTATTTTAGTGCCATCACTTTTTATGCGCGTATGACAACTTCCTTGCTAAAAAATATCACCCGGATCATACACATTATATATCTGAAGGGTCATGCAGTATGTTAAAATGTGCGTTTGTGTTGTTGACAGGTGGCGCTATTTGAGGGTTGGAGGTAGTTGGAGGAGGATGGAGCCACCACCACTGCAGAAGAAAGGAAGGTGGCGCCGTCGGCCCGAAGAGAAGAGATGGAAGAAGGAGAAGAAGGAGGAGGAGCTTGGAGGTCTAGTGCGTCGGTTAAGGTGGGGGTCTCCGACTGTTGGGGGG